CATTGACATTCGCCGACAATCTTTTTTGAAATAGCTTTTTAAGTAGCTTCTGACTTGAAAAAAAGGATACGAGTTGAATTTTATTAGTTTTAAGGGCACTAGTAATTAAACGTATYTAAGGGACTATATCCAAGTCCCTTTCTTATTTTACTCGTTGCAACTCGAATCTAGGATTGATGTATACTCGGATCCGTATAGTCTTTAGTACTTTAATTGCAAAATGTAATTAAAGAAAATCTAGATATTTCTATGACTGTTATTGCATTACATCATTCTAATCAACTCATTTTGACCTCATCCAGCTACTGTCAACTCTCGCCTTACGGACACCCCGCTACAACCGACATCTCGATATTGCGGACAGTAAAATACTGGATCCCCGGCGAACARTACAAAGAAACGACTGAAAGTAACTCTCGTTACTGCGGACTCTCGCTACTAAGGACACTAAATTTCGGTCCCGAGGGTGTCCGTTATAGCTAAAGTTGACTATACTTTGCTATTCGATGACCTAAATAGATGAGAAACTAGAATTAATCCAAGTTTAGATATTTCTTTAAAACTTCCTTTTAATTTCTTTTAATCAGCTCTTATTTTTTTGCTTCGATTTAATATGAGATATGTGGTATTGTGTTATAAGTTAGGCAATATATTTCGTTAACGCGAAGTGAGATGAAATTGTTTTATTTAAACTCAAGATGAAATATTGATGTTCTTGTCATTTCTTTCATTTCCTCCAAACTATTTTTAATAATTTCTGTTTATTTTGATTGCTAACATCTTGATCTATTTATATAGTACTTTTCTTAGAAGAACCCTATACATGACAACTACTTCAGTACAAACACCTCGACCACTCTTTTGCTACAACTGACTCAGATCTAAAAAACGTACATTTCGTGTATATGAAAGTTCCAAAGTTGAACTTACCATTGTAGACAGCTCCCTAAGGGCGTGAAGTGGGAAGATCCGGTTTACTTTGCTGTTATCTTTTGCTTTGTGTCCCCTAGGAGAAAAGAGCACGACAAAAAAACACAAACACACACACACAAAAACAAAGTAAAACAAATAATCAAAAATTGAATAAATAAAAACAAAACAGAAACAAAACCAAAAAAGAATCTGCAAAAAAATAATATAAAAAAAACGAGAAAAACAAACAAACAAAAAACATTGAACTCAGGGCCAAGCTAGGCTCAGTCTCCAGCCGTCGGGATTTCGTGC